ATGGTGAAGTTTGAAGGAGTTTGAGTTTAGAAAAAGCAGGCTCGTGAGAGGGAGACTTTAGGACATTAGAATCTTTCAGGAGAGGAAGACGTGATGGTGTGTTCTCTCGGGGCCTCAGAAGGCATAGCTGATACCCTGTTCGATGTGCAGCACAGGAGTCACGCTCTAAGTGTTGTGGCTTGTGCTCCATGTCTTACCTGAGAGCTGCAGTATGTAGTTCTCCATTTAAATGCTAGCTTTGGTTTGTTTGCTTTTTTGCACGTGATTTCTTTAATTATGAGTTCTAAAACGGTAGTATGTAATGGACAGCCAGGCCCTTTGGTCAGTTTAGACTCTGTATTTTTTAAGTGTTTGTTTAGCTAGGCTCTATGAGTTTCACTTTCTAACTAGATGTCAAAAGCAAAGGGGGCTGCCTAGAGGTAAAGTGAAATTGAGGGCTTTGCTAAGGTAGCAAAGTGGGTAAAGCAACAGAAGGAAAAAGTGCAAAGAAACTTTGTTTCGGGGTCATGAAAGAAAGTCAGTCTTGTGAGCTGGCTTGGTTATCACCTTTTCAACTCGTCAAAACCTCACGTTGTGTTCCATATGAAGGAGTTGAGTAGAATGCACCAGCCTTACTATTACAGATTAGGTAGCCCAGGCTAACCTTAATGAAATATTTTTATTTTTTAGCTTGCATAACATAGAACTTAGGTGAAATTGCACCCGTTTAGAAGTAATACTGAGAGAGTTACTGCTTTCTGTCGATAACTGTTGGATGTGGAGCTTCCTTTCCCATCAGCCTTAACGTAGTCTGAGACTTGCTTTTGAAATTTTACTATTCAGTCTTTCTGCAAACATGCTGTAGAATGGGTTGACTAAAAGAAAAATTGCGAGGCTGTTTGTATGAAGTGTTTTGATACAGTTCTTGGTCTGGTGAAAACAGTTACAATTTCTTCCAGCTTTCCGATACCTTGCTGAGTTGGATCAGGATGCTGTGAAACAGTGCTGGGCGCTCCCTGAGTGCTTCTGACTGCTATTTTTTCAGAGAACTTGTTAGTTTTGTGCCCTTCAGCTGATAATTAATAAATAAATGGAGAAAGGCTGAAGATTCTGGTAACAGGAGTAATGTTGGTAATTGCTTGCAAAAATGGTCTGAAATTGCTTGTTCATCTTTCCGTGAGATTGTGTCTGAAGCAAGGCCAGAATCCGCTTCTTAAAGGTGGCATCTAGCCGTTTAAAATAAAACCCTTTTTTCCCTCTTTATGGAGGCCTCTATTTGGTTTATTCTATGCTTCCAGTTTTAAAAGCAAATACACGCGGGCTGTTTCAGGCCACAGTCTGTGTTGGTACACAAACTCTTGCTCTTAGGGCCGACCTTAGCACGTCAGCCGGGTGTTCTTGTCTGGGCCAGGGTTTCGTACCGTTCTCTCCAGCCGCTGTTTGTGATAATCACTGCTCTCTGCTTCTGCAGTTGTGACCTCTGTATGGTTACAGTACTCAGAAGTCTGTCCTGTTTCCGGTTGGGGATAGTCTAACCTTAGCAGATACTTAAGCTTAGTATCTTTCTTTTGAGATGCTTTTTTTTTTTCCCCCTACGTTTTGAAGAGCTGTTTTACATAGCCCAGTGGTTACCTTCGGGTGCCTTTTCCATCGTTGCTTCCATGTTCGGTGTTTTAGCTGCGCACTGATTGCACAAAAGGTTTTATACCTTTACATTTGGATGCTGCGCATTTCTCGTGACTTGCTCAGGCGCAGTGTTTGTAAACGCGTATGGTCCAAAGCTTGTTTCACAGCTGATTCATTTCCTGAAGTACTGTCTATTCTATAGATTGAATTTCCTCTGTGACAACAATATGTCATTACATAGTTGCAGGTAGCAGGAAGGCGGAAGTGTGTCATGGTTAAATCTGGGCTTTTCAAATCTGAGTGCTTGGCTTCCTAAACTCTTACCTGTTTTAGCATGTTTTTGTAAGTAATAAATAGGAATGTCATTACTACACACTTTCTCTATGTGTGAGTTATTATGTTATGCCTTTGAACCTTTCTTGTCAGAAAAATATTCAGTGTTTTGTTTGTCTTGTTAAGTTGCTGGTGGAATTTCCCACTGATTTTGAGGGCATCGGGTGCTTTGACACTTTTTGCATGGTGTGGTTTTGTTTGCTTGAACGCAGTCTTCAGATACATGGAGACAGAGGTGACAAATCCCTCCTTTTGGAGTTTTAGTCTTGAGTTATATGGAGATAGAGATGACAGACCCCTCCTTTTGGGGTTTAGCATTTTGGAGCACATACTTGACCCCTTCGTAATCAGCATTTAAAGATTTATGGATTTAAGGATTTATGTAAATATAGAAACACTGGTTTTGTGTCACGCTTCGTGTTCTCACGCTATGGTGTGTTGACTGTCTAGCAGGAGACACAAGTATGTGCATGCTTTCTAATCTTTCTTTTTCAAGTAGGGCAGGAATAGATTGAAAGTGAAGCCCCAGGTTTTCTCTAAGGGTGTCAGGGTGGTAGTAAATCGAGGAGCTTTGCAGTGATGTTGATATTAAGTAAATGAATTTGAGGTTAATATATTCCTGGCTATTAAATGCGTCTTGCCTTTTTGCGTCTGTAATTCTCTATGTTCCATGGATTCCTGAGGTGAGGTAACAGCTTGTAATTCTTCCCACTGCTTGTCGTTCCCAGAGCTCTGCTGTTGGAGTAGACTTCGTTCCCAGGTTTGCATAGTGTTGCTCATTAATAGGAAAGATATGTTCACAAATGCAATAATTTACGTTTGACTTTAAATGAAGAGGCTAAAATATCTGAGGTAGTATCGTGTTAATTACTCTCTCCAGCTCTCCCAGGCAGAACACTTTCTCTGAAGATTGCGATGGAATGAACTGTTTGGTTTAATTGCTTTCTGTCTTCAGCTGTTCACTGTTCCATTAACTGATGCAGCAGTGGCTTAGTTTTTGCTCTGTCTTTGGATTCACGGTCCTGGTGGTACATTCGGTGCTTTTATGGAAGATTTTTGCAGCGCTTGTGTGCTCTTGCGGAAAGCCCTGGGAATTTTTGTGGGGGGTCAGACTTCAGCTCTCCCGTCCTCGCTGCGAGCTGTCGGTCTCTACAGAAGGAATCGCCAGCTGTGATCCTCAGATTAGCCCAACTGGGCGGCTGGGACTGTAGGAGATCGCTGCAAATCAACCCTTCCTAGAACGGTTTCTGTATGAGCACTTTCTGTTCTTCATTTGGGAAATGGGCACTGATTTATGAGGGGAAAAAATGGTGTGGAGAGGGCGAGAAGATTTCTTTACTGAAAAGAATGAGTATGAAAAGCCTCTCTTTTCCCCCGTCCTACCTTCTACTCCCTTTTTCTTCCTCTTTCCTTTGCTGTCTGGTAGGTTAATCTTTTGATTAACTTCGCTTTTCTTAGGAAGGTTGACGGTATAGAAAAATCTGTCTTTCTTCCAAAACAGTTCTGTTTGCATTGCCCAGATAATACTGAATGCTCAGATGTTACTCCTGATTTTCAGTAGATTGCAGTGTAGGGATCTATCATCTTTGTTTAATAAGCTAAACTTCTGCAGTTTTAAAAGGACATGAAAATTCTCTGGTTGGATTTTTTTCATATTTACATTCACAATCGTGCCCCTTTCTTACAGCCATCCTTTTTCTTTATTAGTATACTAAAAAAGAAGTCAGAAAAGCAGTGGCAATTCCTGTGCTTTTGTTAGAATTCCTCCTCCACTGTTTTGTTTGTTTTGTTTTATTGACAAAGAGAGGTAATATTTAGTGTAACAACTTATTTTGAAAAATAAAAAAATAAATAAATGTGCTTCCTTGACTGAGTAAAATTCTGAGACATAATTCAAGCCTTTCAAATTTTAACCTCCTGTCACCTGTGTAATACAACATTTTATTTTTTTTTAAACTTCACTAGACAGCCTTAAACTCTTGCCCTTTGAGGTGAAAGCTGGGATTTACAACCTTTCCAACCAATATTTCCATGCTTGAAGGGACCTGCTGATGAAGCTTTGCCAAGATAGATGGTGTCTGACACTCCGATTAGCGTTGGCCTGTGAAGTGTCTCTGCAGACAGGAGAAGGGATCTGACTGTTCTAGTGAAATCTGCTGTGCCTCTGTCCAGAATTACACTTTCCCATGTCACCTAGTCACGTTTACCTGCTCCTTCTGTTTCTCCTTTTTTTTTGCTCATCACTCCTTGCTAAGAAGTTCCTGAGGTTGCTGGAAGAAGGAGGATTGGGACAAATATTTAATTTCTAGTGCTGTGTTGACACAGGTATAAGCATTCTTAGCACCTGGCTGGTGATGGATCTGTTTTGTTTGTCACATACTGTGTTTAGCAGTTACTGTTCTCACTGCGTCAATACTAAGATGAAGTTTTAGGCTCTACGTTAAGTGACTAAAGACAACCTTGGCGCATGCCAAAGTGACGGTACAGCACATGACTTGTAATTATTTTTTTCTTTTAGGTACATGTATCATGTTTTGACTAAAAACACAACAGTGACGGATCACAACCGCAACCTGCTGGTGGAGACTATTCGTTCCATAACGGAGATCCTCATATGGGGAGATCAGAATGACAGCTCAGTATTTGAGTAAGTACTTCTGAGGAATTTTCATTCTGGTTTTGGTTTTGGAAAAATGATTTGAGTTGCCTAGAGATCTGGTTCAGAAAGTTAACTCTTCCAGGACTGTATTTTGTGAGTGCAGGTAGAAAGCTACGTCCTGTAGTAGAAGGGTAAGCAGGGTTCTGTTCTTGTTGTACAAAGAAACTCGCTTCAGTCAACAGCAAAGCGTTCCAAGCCCAGAGTCTCTTTTGTGTACTGCTTTTGTTGGAGTCGCAGATCTTTGATAGAAATACAAAATTAACCTTAGGGCCAGGTTTACTCATTACATCTGTTAATTTCATGTGACAATAATTTGTCCAATTTATATAAGGTAGCTATATTTAGAGTCTTTATTCACGTGTTGTTTTAATCCTTGTTAAACAGCATGACAGAAAAACAAACTTCAAAATAAATATGCAGAGTTGCAAATCTGACTGTTGGTGCCCGTTGCTTGGCTAGATGTGTGGCATTTTTAATTACTTATTTAGGGAGTGATTGGTTTTATTTTTACAAGATGATTTCACCATGATTGAGTTATGATGTAGACTAAAAAAATTAGCTTATTCTGATTGTTCATATCTATACTGTAACTTCATCGGATCCTCGCGGACTTCTCTGCTCGGGAGAATTTTATGAATGAGGTTTTTTCCTTCGGTTAATGTAAAAAAAAAAAAAAAATCCATAGATATGTATTTGTCATGTCCTGGTAGGAAAGAGTCTTCACTGTTCTCTGTAAATTGCATATATCTCTGATTTAAAAACTGCAAGCGTTCACTTGTGTTTGAGCTGTACAACAAACCGTGAAAAGCTTCCTTTTGGTGTGTGATTAAAAAAAAAATTCAAGTGAATCAAAAATAAGGTCTCTGGTATTGAAAGCAAAAAGTATTTTACCTTAAAAGGGAAAAGTGAACAAAATGTAACCTTCATTTAGAGGCTCTACCCTTCAAAATTATGACTGCAAGGTAGTAAGCTGCCTGGTGAATTGAATATACTAAAAATAAAATTAAAAAGGCCCTGGTTTCTTGACATCCCTTTTCTGCATAATTTGAATATTAAGTGCCCTTGTTTGTATTAAAAGATTTTGGACAATATTCTTCTGTTACACAGATAAATCTTTGCAAAATATTTTTTCATAGGTGTAAAAAACACAGTTTGTCAAAAGGGCCACATCGTCCCTGGTCCTGATAAAATTACATTCCTGTTAAATACAGCAAGTTAATGACACCTCTGTTGTATTTCAGCTTTTTCTTGGAGAAGAATATGTTTGTTTTCTTCTTGAACATCTTGCGTCAGAAGTCCGGTCGTTACGTGTGTGTGCAGCTTCTGCAGACTCTCAACATCCTTTTTGAGAACATCAGCCATGAGACATCACTGTGTAAGGGCATGAGTTTAAACTGTTGGGGATTAAGTGATCAAGGTTTGAGTGAAGTATCTCCTTGGATGAAACATAGTCATATTGCCCCTTCACAGAAGAACTATATGAATTCCTAACAGTGTTTTTAATTGAACACTGATGATTTGACTCCAAAATACCTTTTCATGTCAATTTTCAGTAGTACGAAAGCAGTTGTTTGGTACTGCTGAAATGTTTAGCGTATTTCAGGGGTTTTTAGGTCAGCATGGCCTGAAATGTCCTCCTTGGTGCTGCAGATTGTGGTGCAGCTCTATCGCAGAATTGGTACTGGAGCTGTTCGGGCATCGTTGGGGCTGGCGTTTGGCCACTTCATCACAGAGTCACAGAATGGCCTAGGCTGGAAGGGACCTTAGAGATCATTTAACCCAGCCTCACTGGCCCTTACTTCAGGGGTTTTAGATAAATGTCAGGTGGGCAGAGAGTTAATAGTTAACGCGCTCCACAGCTGTCGTGAAGAGGGACTCATATACAAGCCTTGGAGAGTTTATGACTTGGGGAGCGAAGAGAGTTGCTTTGAAGAGTTGTTAGCTGCTGCCAAGCCTACGTGAATTGAGGAAGGTGGGATATGTTCTCAGACGTCTTGTTCGTGGGAGGCAAAGACCTTTGTAGGGAACAATTTCCATACATTTACCACTTGAAGCCGTAGCTAGAAATTAGGATCTTCAGGCATCAGGTGTTTTGTCACTAGCCAGTGCTTTAAATACAGCTTGTTAGCATGATGTGGTTTTTTTCCTTCCGTTAACCTGTGTCATGTCTCTTATTTTTCAGACTACCTGCTCTCTAATAACTATGTAAATTCTATTATTGTCCACAAATTTGACTTTTCTGATGAGGAGATCATGGCATATTACATATCCTTTTTGAAAAAAAAAAACTCAATAATCATACGGTGCATTTCTTTTATAACGAGGTGAGTGAAGAAAGAGTTGCAGTATAGCGATAAGAGGACTTCAGTTAGAAATCGATAGGAATTTGGCACATATTCTGTTTGGTCACTTGTCTTGACATGTCCTGCATTTATTTTTATAATGGTAATATCCGTGATTGAGAATTCATTCTCTGTAAAAGCATGATCAAGAAGGCCTTTGTCGTCATACAGCTAGAATAAAATCAAAATCTGGAATTTAGGGTTGTTTTGGAGTGTTTCAGTAGTTCTGAAGTCTACTTCCCTGAGAATTCAGCTCATTTACGCCTTGTTTTCTTATGCTTTAATAAGCACAATCTTTCCTATTGCACCACTTAGCTCTAAGAGGCTTAGTCAAAATCTAAAAAGCCTGAGTGATCAAAGGCCAAAGTTGAAATGGGTTTTGTACTCGCTCTCTCCTACGTTTTGCCAGAAGAGGGCATTAAAGCACTGAATATGTGCAGTTAGCAGGGAAACTCGGACACTTCGAGCACTTCAAGGCAGAGCTCCGAATGCAGCTGCCGGTGCACTGTGAGGTCATTTCGATTACTTAAGCAGAAGGTAAAAATATCAGAGTGATGCAAGGCAAACCCTTTCATATAGAATCCTAGCAGACATTCTGTACGTGTTTTGGTTAATTTGTACATGTTTTCTTTCTTCCTGTTCCAGCACACTAATGACTTTGCTCTGTACACTGAAGCTATTAAATTTTTTAACCACCCAGAAAGCATGGTCAGGATTGCTGTCAGGACTATAACTTTAAATGTCTACAAAGGTATGCTTTTTATTTATAAAATAGATGTGTGTACAAAATGCTCCTTCCATTGTAGTTTATTTTTCGGTCTGTTCTATGAGATTCAGAAGCTTAGCACGTTGACACCTTTCAGATATTCTGCTTTTTACAAAATGGAACCTCCAAACCTACAGTATGTACTTGTACATGGTACAGCCCCGATGAAACTGGTTTAAAAAACCCCAAAAGACTATCAGGTGTATACAAGAAACTTTAGCTTCCCTTCCAATAAAGATCAGAATGTGACTGTATTTAAACAAAGAAACAAACCAACCCAACCCACAAAACAAAGTGCTTTAAGAATATTGAGTCTTTTTGACTTATGAGCTTGAGCTTTATAATGTACGAAGCAGTAACTCTGCTGGCTGCGTCACTTCGTTTTGGGTTTGGAGTGTATTAGAACGTGATTACTAGGAGCTGCAGTCACTCCAGTCTAAAGAAGAGCCAGACCATTCCCAGAGGTGCCCAAAAGGCTGCAGCTGCAAATTCGTGTACTGACTGTTCCATAAGGAAAACACCCAAAGCTTTGCTGTGAGAATAGTTAAGCACTGCAGCAGGTTTTCCCGAGAAACTGTGAAATCTGTAACGGTTGAGATCTTCAAAACTCAACAAGGCCCTTAGCAACCTAGTCGGACTTGGAAGTTAAAGCTACTTTTGAGAATAGGTCTGGGCTAGACAATGCCCAAAAATCTCTTCCCCCTACATTTACCTTGAGGTCTATAAAACCTGTAGTACAGTGAAGATGTCACCGTGGTCTCTGTAGAAAACCCCTGTGATTTCAGAACTTTGACCTCTAGAATCAGCGTGCTGTAAGGTATTATGTATTATGGAATAAGTTTCTGCAGGGTTTCTTATTAGGTAATCAATTTTAAATTGAATTACGTTTAAATTTACATTACTTTCAGTTAAGAGAAGTAGTGATTTGATGACAGTCTTAACGGTAGAAGAATATAAGATCTTTTTTACAGCACTGAACAACAGGCTTTGCAAATAACCGGAGAGCCTGCACAGCAGATAGGTTCTGTATAGCCTTGAATGACTTTTGTATGGTGACAAATAGGCATTTGGTACTTATTTTCTACTTTGAGGGCCTGTAACCCCAAATCCGAGCCCATAAAAAAGTGCAGGAAGGCTTCATATGCTATTTGTTACATATTTATGTAACTAAATATTTTTGTGGTTTAAATAAAAATGTACTTGTCTGCAATATCCATCGAATCTTGTGGTATAAAGGTTAGAGGTGAAAAAACACAGCCTAGATGATTAGGTTTCCTAGTTTTCTGGCTATCCGTTTGCATATATTCTGATCTAACACCGACCCTGTATCTCTTAGTTTAGATGCTTTGTGCTTTAGCTTTTTTAACCCTTTTGGAGGATGTCGCTATCCCAGTTCCTAATCCTGTTAACTGTTGTCTGTTTCTTTTGCCCTTCCTTCACTGGTGATTCCTGTGTTCCTTAATGCAGTGTCATGTAAGTCTAACTAGCTTGACTTTCAGCATTACTGCTTTATTCTTACGCTTGTTTTTTCTCTTCTTTTTAATTAAGTGTGCCAAAAAACCCCTTTCTGAATTCCACTAGATTTGTTAATCTTCAGACCTATGTAAATATATCCATATCAGGCTCATGCAAGCCAATTAAGAATTGATGTGATGCTTTTGTAGAAGTCCATTTCATGCCTAAGATCATGTCAGGTATATACTCACGCGAAAAGCTAGCATGTAACGGAAATTCAGAAGATGCCTTGTTGTATTTCGTAAAAATTCATTTAAAAAATGGACAACTGATTTTTCTTTTTAATGATTTCTCTTCAGTGGACAACCAACCTATGCTGCATTACATTAGAGATAAAACTGCTGTCCCTTATTTCTCCAACCTCGTTTGGTTTATCGGAAGCCACGTGATAGAACTGGATAACTGTGTGCAGACCGATGAAGAGTAAGCTTTTACAGATGCTGGGGGTTGAATGGAACTGCTTTTCCCAGATGTTGATGCTCCTTCGGTTTGTAGTAGGCCAGTTAAGTTAGTTTCTGAAGTCGTAAACAGTTCAGGCCCTTCATTCTTGCAAAGTTTTGTAGCGATTCTTTGAATTCATAGTGGTTAGTGCTGTGTGCCTTACCTGTGCTAGGATCCACACAAGTCAATTCATGTTTGGCAACAGTTTTTTTTTCCTTGGCCTTTGTTTTAATTTTGCTCAGTTTACTAAATACCCAGATGACACATGAGGTATTTTGTGCTTGTCAACCCTACTAACTTTGTCTTTTTAATGTTCCTTTTCTGCGCCTCAGAAAAACAGGCTTCTGAAAAGATTGTAGGAAAAGAATTTAAACTGAAAGGATGGACTTTTATTTACTATGTGAACTATCAGACCTGACATTTCTCTGTAAAATTCCACTGTCAATTCAGGCTTTTCTTGGTTTGCCTTCCCACTCCTACCTTAGAATGGCCAACTGTTTCTTGCTTTCTTAAAGTGAAGAGGTAGATGTTAAACAAACTCTAGATTTCTTACTTTATTTTTGGAAACAAATCTTAACTATTTTTTTATCATTGGTTTGGAAAAGATTCCAGCAGTGGAAAGCAAAGTTTTGTGAAAACGTTGCTTCTGAAAACTGGGGGAAAATCTCCATAGGTGCATCTGAAATCACGTGAAAGCCTGAACGCTGTTTGCTGGCTGAATTAGTTGACTTCAGTGAAAATATCTTCTTTAGGCAGCCTGTGCAAGGTGCTTTGTGGAAGGAATGCACATTAATTCTTTCCTTAAATTTTTAAGACTTTGGCAACTGATTATACCTGAGACTTTCTTTCTGCTCTCGCTTTCAGACACAGAAACAGGGGCAAACTGAGTGACCTGGTAGCAGAACATCTGGATCATTTGCATTACCTTAACGATATCCTTATCATTAATTGTGAATTTTTAAACGATGTGCTGACAGACCACCTACTTAATAGGCTCTTTCTTCCTCTCTACGTGTATTCATTAGTAAATCAAGATAAGGTAAGTTAATACCTGTAAACAATTAGATCTTGAAGGCATTACTTGCTCTCAGTATGCATTATGATTTGTTCCGCAGGGGTATTTTGCA